CCGGGGGCGTGGACCGGGGGGGGGGGGGGGGGGGGTGAGATTTGGTCCCCATTGGTGGAATACGGGGCAGTGCAGAATCCCTGGGGCCCATGGAGGGGGGGATGTCTGACGGGCTCCTGAGTGGGAGGCTGGGGTCCGACGAGTTCTCCCGCCACATTCCTAGTAACAGGAGAGAGGAGAGCTGGGCGGGAAGTGCACAGGGTCTGGGAGAACCAGAGGAGAGCTGAAGCTGGAGGAGGCGAAAGGAGGAGAGCAGGTAAAGAGATACAATGGGGGGAATTTATCAAAACTGGATCAGACAAAATTTGGAGCAGCTGTGCATGGCTTCTCTCTTCAGTTTGTTCAGTTAGAATTTGAACATGAAAGATAGAACCTGATTGGTTGCCATGCACAGCTTCTCCAGATTTTGTCTGCTCCAGTTTTAATAAAGTCCCTTGAATGTATCTGAGTATTGAATCCGGACTGTATGGGCAGGCTTCTATTAGGCGGCCACTGGCTGCATTGTTTGTGGTCAGGGGGCCAGAGAAAAAAAAAATCTTGCACCATGGGCCAAGAAAACAGCCTTGCACCAGGACCCTTTGTTGCTTAGGTCCGCTACTGATCTTCAATAAGTAAGTTTACATACTACATCTATATGGTTAACAAGAGTGGGATAGAACGTATCGCAATTCAATCTAAAAATAGATTTTTAGTTTTGACCATAGATACCCTTTAATATCGATCAAACAATCCCCTATTTATCCCTTAGGTGCTAGAGGTGCTGGCGAGGTATGTATGCTGGTTCATGACATCAGTGAGTACCTTCCCCTAAAGCACATTTAAAAAATACACACATTCTCCTTCTCTTATCCATATTATTGTAATTTTGGTTAAAGCCGTAGTACACCATGTAAAATGATCATGGCAAAAGTGTAAAGACCACATTTTTGTATAGCGTGTCATTTTACGTACATATGCCATCTGTCGACCACAAGTCATTAAAAAAAATATAATAATAATAATTTTGTAGATGAATATTATTATCTATCATACATTTTGTATTAAAGCAACCTATGAAGCAGGAATACAACTGCTGACTTGTTTTTAAGGTGCAGGCTTTGAGGCTGTCACCCTGAACCTGACATCACTACCTAGTGAACTGACCTGGAATATTTATGCAGGACAGAGTTTTAGGCTTTTTTGACTTAACTGTCTTCATGCTTTTTTTGAGTTTAATGACCGGGATCATGTTGAAAACCTGGTAGCCTTCAGCTTTAAATAAGTTAGTGCAGTGCTCATGTTTCTGTTCTCAAACATACCTTTTAAGATAAACATTGCAAATCTTTGTGATATACATGCATGGTTATATGTCAATGGCTTTAGCTGTAACAGGTGGTGATTGTTCATTAACAAGTAGCTTTCTAGTTCATCATGTCATTTGAAATTGTTAATGAAGTTCTGTTAGTTCTTCACAGTAAACACAAATTCTGTATCTCTTCCTATCTCAGCTACGTGCTTCCTCTCCACATGTGTCGGGCACCCTGCCGTAATTTCAAACACTTCTATAATAAAGAGCTCAGATGCTGTCCTGTGTTTTTATGTATTTTTCCCCCTTTATCTCTCCGCAGCTTGAGCCTCGCTTATAATTGATGATGCTTTAGTTAATCATCTCTTTTCCTCTTTTGTTCAGCAGGTACCTCAACCTTGAAAGATCCCTTTTATACGAAATATGTGTCTTCTCCTAGGTCATTGATCATAAAGCACCCAGGGACATTCAATTCACAGTCAAGTGAGAAACAGTCGTCATGAATAATCAGGAGGTTGTGGCTGTGCTAAAGGAGTGCAAGCAAATGCTGGACGTCCTTGCTTCAGAGGTGTCAGAGCCGACTGAGGAGGAAAAGAATGACTACCAGCGGTGTGGAGGTGAGGACCTTATGTGACGGCACAGGGCAGCCAGCAGGTTCCTCAATGCCTCTGTTCAGCTCAGCCACATGCACTCGCTTCTGCTCTATTTTTCTTCTTTTGGCAGGCGAGGCTGGCTGGACTGTTGGGTTTGTGGGACATGAATGGGATGTGGACCGCAGGCAGAGGAGGAAGCTCACTTTGTTAGAATGAATTGCTGTCACTTCTAATTTCAGGCTCCACTAAACCCAGGCGGAGCTGCATTTATCTGTGGAAACAGAACAATGAGCAAAAGTTTGATGGCAGGTGACATACTTTTTTGAATATTAGAAAATGATGGAGGACAAGCGATTGCCGCAGCGTGTCACAAATGTGTTCGCGTTGAATGGGCTGGAGATTTGAATTTAATGACTTAACTTGCTAATTAGTTTTGCGTGATTTATTCCAAAGAGGGTTGACGAAAACATTTTTTTCTTAATTCCAAGGATTAAACAAACCAGCAATACAAAGAAAATTGGTCTTAATGATATTTGTGACAGCTTTTGGCCCGGTGTACTTCCCTGCTAATGATGGCATTGAATTAGCATAACTGAAATTTTTATTGGATTCAATATCACAACATTCATGGCAGCTGCAGCAGCTAGTTAAATCACATCTAAGGCTGCTACTTGTAAATGAAAATAATGATAATAATACACATGCAATCATTTACATTTATATCTAGTCTTTAAAACACTGCATCTTTGCTTCAGTATTGGGATACTGATTTACAAATATTTGGGGACAATTACTTCCCTGGGTAGGGCACATATGAAGGCTGTGCATAAAGTACTACAACCTAGGAACCTCAAACAGAAGAGCCTATCCATGAAGTGCCTATGCTGACCACCGACTTCGCTTCTTTAGTGGGATCAGAACCGGATCATTCACCTTAGCGCTGACACAGTAAATGGGGTAATATAGAAAGTGCTGGAAACTAGATGGTGAGCTGCACCAAGATAGAGCTAGTGGACATGTTTCAGATCCTCAGAAAACATAGACACGACATTGAGGTAGTGGTTATTAGCATTGAAGGAGAAAAATCTTATTCCTCTTTTTTATTCCCAACATTGCCCCTAAGTTATGACTAGACATAGCACCCATTTACAGTAATTACTGTTGATTATTTAAAGAGAATCTGTCATTGTGCCACGTATTCAGGGCAAAGTGACAGGTTCACTTTGCCATCACATTATCCTACTTGGAGTAAGGATTCAACACTCCAACAGAACCGCGAGGGAATATGCGAAAGGTATTAGTGTGTGGAGGGAGTTCTTAAAAGGGAACCTGCCACTTTGCCCTACATGGGCAAAGTGACAAATATTTGTATAGGTACCTTACTCTGTAAGGTACCTCACATTGTATGTGATCATGCATGACCGGAGACTAATAAGTAATACAAACATTTATGTGAGGCTGACGTTTTTCATTATAGAAAAAAATTACAGCTTTTTCATTGAACATCTCTTGAAAGGTGCGCAATTAGATCACCTACATGTATGGTCAGCCTGGAGCTCACCATAGAATGGTAGGCAGCAGGTGGATGTTAGAAAACCCCCTGCCTGCCCCAGTGAGTCAGGTTGAAAGAAGACACAGGTCCACTGAGTTCAGCATATAGAAAAATAAATTAATAAATAAACCTGCATATACAGAACCGCTAACCAAAACTTGATCCAAAGGAAGGCAAAAACCACTTATAGCATGTTTCAACTTTCCAACAAGTAAAACATTCCTACCTGATCCCCTACGGTAATTGGAAGTTCCCTGGATCAACAATCTATGGTGTCATTACTTAAAAAAATATTAAAAACCCATTATATTATGCATTTAGAAACACGTTCACCTCTTTTTAAACAATCTACTATGCTGGCTAGAACTAGCTCCCGAGGAAGTCTATGCCACAGTTTCATACTGTACTTCTTACTGTAAAGAAGTCTTTCTTTTCCTCCAGATGTAAAGAATGCCCCTTTTCATTTGCAGTTACTTTAATCTGTACAACTTTGTACCAATTTCACTCTATGAACCATTTATGTAATTATACATGGTGACAATACAACCTACCCCCTCCAACCAACTCTTCTCAGGGAAGAATCATTTTTAGTTCAGTTGATCTATTCTTATAGCTGAGGTCCCTTATTAGTTTAGTTACCCTTCTCTGCGCTCTCCCTAATTTCACAACATCCATATTGAGTTAAACTCCTTATATCACAACAGCACATTTATATCCTTTATGTCCTTCATTTATGTCTTGTGTGTAACAAGCACAGACCGACGGTGCCTACCTATCCTACCAGCTCTTCAATGTAGAAGGACAGTAGCTAATCCATAAAAATATATTGGTACCTAGCCAACACACTTTTTCTTTAGTGGTGTGTCTATTGTACCATACCGGCAGCTAGACTGTCAGACAGTTCTGTTCAGATTGCAGCAATTAGGTGGTCTATTCATAAACATTAGACATCCACCTTTTTTTATACCTGTGATCTTTGTCAGGTTTGTATATCAGCTGACTTGTATTGGAGACATTGGTGAGAACATCAAATAGCTTTAGGAATCCCAGTCAGTGGGATCCAACACATGTCTAAGCAAACTGAACCCAGGGTTGTCTGTGTCCTAACAATCATACTGTGCAACCTGCACAACTACATTTTATTGCTACGATGCAGGTGGGCCATTACAACCACCATTACAACCAATAACACTGTGGGCCACCAGCTTCTTGGAAACCAATAATGCTAATTGTCATAGGTTGTTATGGTGCATGGTCTGCTTTCTAGCAACTAGAGGTTCAGCGGTGGTGGTGAGGGTTGACAAACTGACCAAATCGTTCAGCAAACTACAGTTAGAGCTCGGGTCAAACTCATGGTCGACCCAAACCCAAAGTTTATCTGTACAGAAAGGTACAGCTCACAAGATTTCTGGCCGGATCAATGGGTATTTTTGCACTTTGTGAACAAATGAAAAAAATGCTTTTAATGGTAATTTAACAGACCAAAAGTAAGCAAATAAGAGAAATTATATGTGAAGGTTTACATACACTCTTAAGTCAGTGACCTAAAACAAGTATATAAATAAGGAATTAGGACTTTTCTGCATGCTTGTTCCAGGAATTCAGAAGAATAGAAACCAGACACACTCAGGCTGCTAAAATGTTTTGGCAGGCTCTTGAAGCATCAGTGACAGTGTTCTGTGGTTTCTCAGGCATTATCTAGGATGCATCTACTGACCACCAGAAACAAAATAGGTTAGCTCCAGACAAGGTAAATTGTAGCCCCATAATCATTAGATTAGATTCAGGAAGTGAGAAGAGTGATCAGAGTGAAGGAAGGATTAAGAATTCTCATTGTAGATGTACCCCCAGGCTGACTGTTGGGAACAAGAGACCATTCGGACACTAATAAATATAATCAGGGAACCAATCAACAGTGTTAACCAATAAAGACTTTAACAGGTGATATAGACATATGAACAATGCTTCACATTCTGAAAAGTACATCTTTTAGTGTGTTTTTGTACTGTTCCTAAAGATAGATACGGTATTTAGGCCCTGTTCATAAATGTATTAGAAGTTATGAGCTTAGTTGTGAGCTAAGTGTTCTATTTTCTTATAGAAAGAAGGTAGATCGCATGGATAAGATTGCACCAACCATACAATGCGCAGAAAATCTAAGTTTTTAAGAGTAGGACTGGAAAAAAAAAACAAATACAGTATTGTACAAGTTACTATGTTAGTTTTTTAATAAGCACAGATCAAAAAAGGGTAATTTATAGTAGCAAAACGGGTAATAGATTCTGCATGGAATAAACAAATTTAGTTTTCTTATGAAATCAAAATGCACTTCTATGGGATTTCCCTGGTTTAGCAGTCTGGACCACACCATAATCTCAACATTATGACCCCAAAACATTTTGACAAGCTATCCTAAGAGTGCTGCCTATATCCCTATTACTTCACCTCTTTATCTACAGTATATCCATTGCACCTACTCCTCCCTCCTGATTTTACTTTACTCTCTACCTCCCCTCCATTCATCTTATACCTTATCAGTTGTTTCTCCTGAACTAGAACCTAACTTCTAAAGCTTATTATTTTAACTTTCAACCATCTGAGTACTGATTGGACACTGGTAGAGGGAGGTGGGTGAAGGCAGCTCTGAGCTGCGTGGCCTCCTATTGAATGCCTCACAGCTCAATCAGCAGAGCTGCTGCAGTCTGCGAACATCCAATTGGATGACACCAAGTGCACCCCCTAGGTATTCCACTGCCCCAATGTGTGCTGTGAGTGCACTGTTGGCCTCATCCCTCTTGGAGACTGCGTGCACTGCATAAATTGAGGATACATTTGTGATCTAGACTATATGTGGCTTGCATATATGTAAACTTTCATTTAAACATAGTCATATATGTGAATAACAGTCATTTCACACCTTCAGCAAATGATTATTTTAAGTTTGCCTAATGAATTGAAGTGTAAGACAAGACAGAATTATTCTTTAAAAAAAATCTCCTCTATGCAGTAAATATAGTGACAGTCTTGTTGATAATTAAAGAGGCAACTGAAAGATTCATTATCATAGTTCTGCAATTACAATGGCAGTAGATATACCGATGTAAGAATGAATGACTAGCGACAGGGTATTCCACTTCAGGGCACTGATAAAAAGCAGTTGAGATGGATGCTCTTCCACTAGCAGGTGTCCTGCCTTAGCAGCACTAACGTTCAGATAACAGACTTGTGAAGACATTTGCATGAGCACACAACACTGTGGCTTTACTGCCCAGTCACACACAGAATGGAAAGCCTTTGTTTTGCCCTCTATCAAAACCCCATTTATCTTCCACTAATTTTATAATGACCGGCTTTTCCTAAGCAACGTTTCTCTTGACATCATTAACATTTTTTTTGTTACCAAAGCACACACTGTGACTTTAAATAACTATAGTCTGAATGACATGTGCCATAAGTAAGGAAGTATAATATT